GAAACCAAGCAACCGAGTTGTAATTGAAAACTGAAACATTTTGTTGAGTTTTGAAATTGTTGCATTTATAAATTTGAATTTTGATTTTAGCAGAAGTGGCTTTAGAGACACTTATTATTTATTTAGAAAGGCTTAAGGGAAGAGTATATTTAAATATTCCAGCCTGCATGATTGTTTTTAATCACTTAGGAAGACTGATCACTTTGTGGTGACATGAAAAACTTGAGTAACTTCTTGAGGAGGGAGGTTGTTGCATAGTTCTTTCTAACCACAAAGTTTCTTAGTTTTAATATTCAGGACAATAAACAAGCAAGATTTCCGAAGGGAAGGAGCATAGTAGGATAATTTTAGCTTGTTGGTTGGCAGGACTGTCCTGCAAGCCAACACCTTTTAAATCTAAAAAAAAAAAAAAAAAGTTTTAATCGGGACATTGACAATGGAAGTCAGAAAATATGTTTTTATCTTAAGTCATATCCTTAATGTGCAGATTAATGAAAGAGTTTGGAGGCTATAGTGATGTAGTATGATGCCATTTATATTCTGCAGTGAGTCGATGTGACGTGGATAAAAGTAATTTCGTGCATTTTGTAAATTCTGTTCGATGACACTGTAACCATTTTACGAACATTGCGCGATTCAATGAGGACATTGACCGGACTGTCCGGGGAGTATGTGACATTCGACCAGAATGGCCAAAATGCAATCTCTGCAGAATTCGGAATTTTAGCAGTAAGCCTTCCGGATTGGTGGTTTTTAAGAACTAAGGGCGTTATTGGAACGTTTAGCCAAACGGTGAGGGCTGGAATATTCTAGTATTTTAAAATTTCAAAAATTCGAATGATGACGTCACATTTCTGAGAAATGCTGAAACGGCCATTTTAACAAAAAACGAGAGAGAAAACACAACAACATTAGTTGCGCTGACGATAGCAACGACAATCGTGATAAGAAAAACAGCAGCAGATTGCAGAAAACGTTCCGAGTTGCAACTATTGTGCTGCTACAATAGTTGCAAGGCCGTTGCGAACAACGGTGAAGGGTAAGAAATCAGCCTTCCGGATTGGGAAGAAATCGAGATCAACGGGCTTGATTCGCCGGATTCAAGAATCCGGAAGGGTCTCGGGACGGAAAACTTTTATTGACTCTTGTGAACTTTTAGCATCCTGTCATGTCCTGACTTGAATTTAATTGATATTTGGATTAGTTTTGACAAGGATGAGGTGCTAGGAGTTGGGGGAAAGGGTTGATCCATCTTCGATGGAGATGATGATTTTTATCTACTGAACAAAAACAATAGTAATATAATAAGTAGTAACCCTGTTTTTAGGAGTGACCTCGTGGTCTGGGGATACTGAGACCCAGCCATGAGCTCACTATTTGCATGTAATTAAGTTAATTTGAGCGTTCTGGTCGAAGCCGGAGAACAGTAACGTTTTTGTCGACCCGATGTTAGAAGGACGACCACCGAAAAGTACTGGCTTGGTAGAGACGGTGAAAAGCATACAAAGCTCTGTTTAGGCGCTAGCCAGTCGTCTTAAGACTTAGTTTTGTTATCCGTCGATATGTATCTTCCGGGCGAATGTTACAATTGATCCATCTGCTGCTCTTTCAAGAATTTTTCAGCGACGTTCGCTTATTAAAGATTCCAATAATTTACAACAACATGAGCTGTGTTAATTAAATTAGGTTTCGCATTCTGCTGCTTTAGTACTATATTCACCTTTTCTGTTAGTCAGGCAGGTTGTACTATGAATTTTCTCAAAACGTCAATTTGCACTATGAATGTTTTTCCCACATACCACAAATCGTTTTCTTTTAAAATGAATCTTAATCACAGCCAATCATAAAAACAGCAGTTTATTCATAGTTTTCCGAGACAGTTCAGCTTGACTGATTTGCTCCTCATTGCTATATCAATTGCTTAATTGAGCGGGAAATAAGTTGTTTTGGTTTTTTAGGGAATTACCTACTCGTCACAGTCCTGTTTCATGTCCTGCAAGATCTCCCCAGCCATATGAGGAATCGTTTCTTTGTTTGCCCCATCAATTTTCTCAAACTGTTTGCGAAGGTTTTGTTCCCATGATCATACGAGCTATCAGGGAAAAAAAAAGACAGTACGAAAGGTTTGACGGACTTTTGCTTTTTTGGTATTCCATACAACCTGGCCCGCTGCCTCCCTGCGGGGAAAATATTATAGTATAGGGCGCCTCCCTGATATAATTTTTTTTCAAGGCAAAGAAATTTTTACTTATGTTTTTTAGAAATTTTTATCCCTTCTTTGTCAGTCAATTTTATTTGCTCAAATTAAACTTCTGATTGCAATAAATTATCTAGTTTAATCATATGTCTCTTGTTTCATCAGACAAAAGCCTCTCATACACAAACTATAAAACGGCACAGCCAAAAGACAACTGTCCTTTGAATTCTTTCTGCCTTTTTCCACTATTTGTCTGAGAGTGTATGTTTAATATTCGATGTAAATCTTTTTTGCAGCTGCTTTTTTCTCGCACATTTTTCTCCAGTTGTTCTCCTATTTAACTTTCAGTCAGAAAAAAGTTATCAAAAACAGAAAAAAAAATCATTTTTATTGAATTTGTCGCATTCCGAATGTTTTGGCCATAAGAATGACACTTCCTCAACTCACTGCAGCAAGCTTACTGCTTCCAAGTTTCTCAATGAGCTATCGCTCAAGTGTTTAAACGGTATATCTTGTCTTCCCGAGAAATTTAGACCTTACTTTTTGTCCGCCGATCAGGTTTTTGATATTACAACTCCTTGCTGATTGAGATTGAATACTACTGAAGGCCTTCATTTTCCATATGTTCCCCATCTTGATATCTCCCTAGCCTTACCTAGATTCCCTGATGCCTCACTACTATCCTAAATTTTTTGGCTTAAATCAGACCTCAACAGTTTTTTTGACAGCTGTGCTCCGCTTGATCTGAAAAAAAAAAACACCATTTCCGTTACGCAAAACCGCAAAAAGCTTGAATATTGTCCTTATTGAGAAGTGTGTTCGAAAACTTAAATCCCAGGATGCTATAAAACTTGATCAATTGTTTTAAGTAATATAAAACAAGTTTCAAAATAACGTTTTTCTTAAGGATTAATCTATGGAGCTCTGGTGGCAACGTAATTGCAGAAAATTTTGTACAAGCCACGAACACTTTAACTCATGTGACACTCAGCAAAACACGCCAAACAGTATTTTACCATCCATCGTTCTTTCTTCTATACCACCTGAAGTCCATGGTCAAAGCCTTCTTCCATCGCGCATTTGCCTTGCGACGTCCTTGAGATGGCTTCATTGTCTGTGACCATCTTCGAGAAAAGGCCGTTTAATAATCTCGATGGATTGGTACCAAACGCAGTGACCTCAATTCCAACTCAATTTATTGATATTGTTGAAAATGTTTTCTGAGGACCGCGGATTTCTGCCTGTTAATGCTAGAACTGAGATACAAACTTGTCTTGATGACAATTATCCCTGTTTTCGGAAAATTTTCAATCAATCGATTGCCCTTTTTCCGCAATAAGCAATTGTTTATTTTAGGAATCAGTTCTATAAGGAATCACTATAGCCAACATCAGTGTGCCTAAGGTTCTCAATGACCTATCGCTCAAAATTTCTAATAGTATATCTTGTCTTCCTGAGAGCTTTAACGTTTGCTTTTGTGTCAGGCTTTTGATTTTACACCTTGCTTGGCGATTGAGAGTGAATGCTCTCAATCAGCAAGGTACCGGTTCCTTAAATTCCCCTTCCTGCTACATCCCTTGCCTTAGCTAGGTACCGGTTGCTTGACTGCCGCAATAAGCAATCGTTTTTTTTAGGAATCAGTTCTATAAGGAATCACTATAGCCAACATCAGTGTGCCTAAGGTTCTCAATGACCTATCGCTCACAATTTCTAATAGTATAGCTTGTCTTCCTGAGAGCTTTAACGTTTGCTTTTGTGTCAGGCTTTTGATTTTACACCTTGCTTGGTGATTGAGAGTGAATGCTCTCAATCAGATAGGTACCGGTTCCTTAAATTCCCCTTCCTGCTACATCCCTTGCCTTAGCTAGGTACCGGTTAATTGACTATCATCAGCATTTGCTTGACTTAACTCAAGAGCCAAGAGTTCTTTTTGAAAGCTGTGCGCCGCTTGACCCAAAAGAAAGCGCAAAAATTTTGGTATATTGCCGTAATCGAGACGTTTTTTATTGAAAATTTAATTCTTAAAAAACTGCTCTATAATATATATTTGAATGCGGGATTCACTATCTCGCCATGCTTAAGCTTTTTCAAAGCATTTTTTGGCATGTTGAACAAAAGATTTTATTTTCACGTTAAAGTTATATCGTATAATGCAATGGTTAAAATATATATTTTTTTTCGATTTCCATGTTTGAAATCAGTGTTTATCTTACCAAGATGATATTAACAACCGAGTCGTGGTATGCTGCCAGGGTTTCCCCGGGTGTTCCGATTTTGACCTCCGTTCATAATAAGCAAATCTTTTTAGGTTACGAGATACGGCAATTTTTGAGATTTTTCAAGCGTTTCTAGAAAACTTAATTTTTAAAAAGTTCTAAAATTTCGAAATTTTCAACCCTGTAATTGGGGACTATCAGGGTACTCGCAGGGGTTGCAAATCTAGCCTCCAAATCTCACTTCTCAAATCTTTGTAGTGTTCGAGATATGACGTTTCTTTTATGATTTATTCAAAACTTTTCAAGAAAGTTAAGATTTAAAAAAAATCAAAAACTTTCAAGATCTCAATCCTGAAATTGGCAACTGTGAGGGTACTCCTGGGAGTTGTGAATCCTGCCTCTGAATATGACTGCTCAAATACTTGTAGTTTTTGAGATTTGATGTTTAATTGGATTTTTCAAGATTTTTCAACGATCTTGGATGTAAATAGTTTCACAAAATTTGAAGTTACCACCTCTATAGTGAGGCTCTGTCAGGGTACTCCCAAGAGTTGTGAAATTTGCCACAAAATATGTTTGCTCAGAAAACTTAAATTCAATTGTATTTCTTCTAATTTTAAAACGTAAATTAAACTAGAATTTAGACGATATCTAGTGCTCAGAAATACAATCGGAGAATTTGTGCGTAGCGTTGTGTTAATCTCACAAAAAGCGGTGGTCGTCTTAACAGCTGTCATCGTATGTGCCGTACACTCTTTTTTAGGAACTGAGATGTATGAACATTATAACAATAATCTATTTTTCATGCATCAAATCTAGACAAAGAAATCAGCTCTTCGAGAAAATGATGGCTTTGTAGTTAATTATAATCTAAGTTTAAATGGTTTTGTAATCTTGGTTTTCTGCATCTAGAGGTCTCGATCGGCAGCCTGAACGCAGCAATTTACATTACTGGGCACGATCTCTTTTGAATAGTTTTTGGCTCCAGAGATAGTGCTGCTGCAGCTTGGAATATCTGAAGCAGCATTTTCAAGTTTTAATGAACAAAATGAAAACATTTGCTTTGATTGTTTATCGAGGTTTGAATTTGATTACGTTCAAGTTCAGTAAAAACTCAATATCTGAGAGGAAAGCAAAACATGCTCTCCAACAATGAATATGCAATTGAGGATAACAGATCTTGATCTCTTGAGTTAAGGTTTCGATACTGGAGTTTATTTTCTAACGGTTGATCAGCGGCGTAAAAGAAATTACCTATCGACCCAGTTTTCTTTCAATCATATAAGTTTCTTGAACTCAAAAAGCTTAAACTCGATGAATTTTTTCTTCGAAACTTTGCAGATGTGGAAGCTGCAAAATAATGAACAAGATACGACAACAATAAATTGGTCTGGCATAGGGGTGGGAACCCGTAGTTACACAAAATTTTATAGTACTACTAGTGCATTCACCGATCTTTGATTTGTGGAGGCGAATTGATGGTTTTCCACATTATTAGGTTAGATTTATAGTGCTATTTGTGTTTGTTGATTATTTGTGCCATCTGATTTTTCGTGGAAAACGAAAAAACTAAAACCTACCCATTTTCAATATTTGTAGCATAATTTTTTCACCTTCTATGTAGTTTTTGGTTTATAAAGGAAATGCTCTCATCTTTTACGCTCTGATTTTTTGTAAATTGTGTTGCCAGATGTTTTAAGTGTCAATGAATCTTGTGACAACACTTGTATAGGTCGTGATGATTTTCTAAAGTTTTTTTTTTCAGGAAGAAGTCCAAGTTTTTGTTCACGCCTAATTTGATTTCTGTGGTTGGACTTTTGGTTTTTGTAAGTTCAGTTCAATTTCTATGCGTTTACCAAAGAGCTAATGGCACGTTAAAACGTGAATGACGTCTTGTTTCCAAAGGGTATTGCAATCGGGTAAACTTTTTTCCCTTAAACAACTTTGTCCACAGGACTCACTTTGTCCTTCACAAATCCGCTTTGCAAATCCCCTTTTCTTCGTCCTCTTTGCAAATCCTACTCCTCTCGGTTTCAATTATTCAGCATGGTTGAGTTTGTTATTTTAAATATCCGTCCTTTTCAAAATTTGCTTTTTATGTTGGTTGTGATTTTTCCAACTCGATTTGTCAAAATTTTATTTTTTTTCCTTTTTTCGGCTTAATAGTCTCGGGTATATTATATATCGGTTTTTGTGGCCTAATTTTGAGTGGTTTCAAGAGAAATATAGTTTTTATGTTCACCTCTGGATCTGACGAAATGCTGAAAATCATAATAGAAGTTATTGTTCAAGTTTTCATGACAACAGTTTTTTTGGCTTTTTTGTTTTTTCTTTTTTTTTGGCTTGATAAAATTCGGCCTTTATTATATGGGTTTAATGGTCGCATATTGCGCCTATGGATGGCCGAAGAAAATTTGTGTGTGACTGTTTGTGTTTTGAGGGCGAGGGGGACTTAATAAATTGTTATTATTTTTGATTTTTTTGTAATTTCCTTTTCCTTTTTTTCGGCTTGATAGGTTTTAGCCTATATAACAGCGGATTAGTCGCCTCATATTTCGTTGTTTAACGAGCTCTGTATGTGTTTTGAGGGTAAGGGGGACTTAATAACTATTTAGTAGTCTTAATTTTTTTTTCGGAATTTAGTAGACTAAATTTTTGACGCGTGAATAAAGTTTGTGTGTGTGTGTGTGTGTGTGTGTGTGTGTTGTGTTTGTGTTTGCTTGTTTGTTTGAGGGTGTGAGGGAATTGATAATTTAAAAAAAATTTTGGCCTAAGGGGTGTCTGCTTAGGTATTTCTGGGTTTGTTACCGCGTGATCATTTTTCTTTCGAAGATTTTTTGCATTCTTTTGTCTTGGCTCGTTGTTGTTTCAAACCTAGCCTTATCGATAAATCTATATCGAATTTTTTCAACTTCGCAGCTTTCGTGTTTTGTATCGCAAGTGGCGCGAAGCTCAGCCTCGCGTCTGTGTTAATTTTACATTTCTCATTGACCCAGTTTTTGGCAATTAACAATTGATCCAATTTGTTTAAATTAGGTTAATTTTTTTAAATCAATGTCAATGATAGTTGTTTCTTGTTTTTCAAGAATTTTAAAGTTATATTTTTCCTTTGTATTTCAAAATAGAATTTTTTGTTCAAAAAACAAGCTGATATTTTTCCAACTGACTTGACTGTTGGCTATCGTCGTCGGCTTTTCACTTTTACTTCAACTTCTTCCAATTCGATTTGCCAGTGTGTACAGTAGGGTTTTACTGCCTGATTCCAGGAACCTCATGGAAAGACCATGGGGGGCTAAGTGTGTTATCATTTTATTTTTTTTTGATTATCTTAATTGTTCCAAAGATCTCTACGCCAATAATAATTGCATGTTTGTAGAGTTTAAAATGGTGTAGTCTGAAAAGTTATCTGATATTGTGGATCGTCTTTTGAAATGCATGATAAATAAAACACGATTTCACGTGATCGAAAGTAGCCAATCACGATATTTTTTAAAGTTTTTATCAGGCTTGAAGTTCCTACAGACCAGGAAGTATAAGCTATTTATTAGGGATAAGCAAATTGCTTTTGCAAACTTTATTTTCACATTTTAGGTTTTGATTCTATTTTGTTTAATCGAAAAGCGAACCTGATCTACTCCGTCTTTGTACTTTGCAGAGCACTCGAAGTAGTTGTAGGCTCCGATTCTGTCTGCAACACGCACACCCTCTTCTTGCGTTAGAGGCTTTCTCCCTTTTTTGTACAGATTCTGAAAGAAAAACGTTTTTTCGAAATTAATAGATGGGAAAGTAGTTTTTTTTTTAAATTTTTAACTACATTTATTGGATAATTTGAACTCCTTTTTCTTAACTTTGGTTGGTATAAGGCAAAAAGTGATGATCACAGAAGTTGCTCAGATTTTTACTAGGGTTCGAGGCAACTTTGATAATTTGAACAAAATTATAGTGCAATTGGACAAAAAAATCCAACTAAAAATGGGTGATTTTTGGTTCCTTTTGTTTAAACAAGAATTATGCCAAAGCTATCGGGTCAATTGTTGAGCCAATTAAATCAAAGTGAGTCTCTTATCTAGACCTAACAAATTTAAGAGGGTATGATCTTCAAAAATTTACACAAAACATTTAAAGATGGTTTTTCAATCAAATGTTGGTATTTCATATAGTAATTATTTTATCTTTTGGTTGTCAAAGCTTTTAGATTATATTTGCTCAGATGAAAATTTATCAGCATTGGAAACTGTATTTTTTGCGCAGATTATCGGTTTTTGGGGTAAAGTTTTGGATCTGAATTTCAGAAAATAAATTACGCATTATTAAATCTGGTAAAATTCTGAGCAACTTTTGTGATCATCACTTTTTGTTAAGTTTGTCCGGATAGTTTAAATTGGATAAACTTTTTTTGTTATTTTTGTCCGAATCGCAGAACTATAAATATGCGTAAGCTCGATGGAGACCCTATCGCGAAGTTTGTTGATAAAATACCGAGTATTCGAATAGGCGAATAGGAACATATCTGAACCGTTCGTGATTTTTTTTTCAGATAAATTAAATTTGAAGGTTCAATATGATGATTGAGGAATCCATCTACGGTTTAGACTCTACGAAAGTGTGGCGATCGACTGCAGTATGCGCAGTTTCAACCTTTGTCTGTTTTCTGTCGGGGTCTATTACAAAAAATTGCAGTCAGGTCGACAAGTTGTGGTCAATTTTGCCTGTAATACATGCAGCTATTTGGTGCAACTCTCCAAACTGTTCCGCATTTCCGACCATCCTTACAATGTTTGCAGTAGTTTTTATCTGGGGAGTTAGGCTGACAACTAATTTTGCCCTCAGAGGAGGTTATACGTGGCCGCCGTGGAGGGGCGAGGAGGATTACAGATGGGAGGTTGTAAGGAGTTGGCCTTCGATGTCTTATAAAGACAAAGTCACTGGTAGACGGATTATGAAATGGACCTGGCATTTGTTTAACTTCGCTTTCATCAGTCTGTATCAGAACATCCTGCTCTTTTCGGTTGTTCTCCCGTTCGTCCAATTGAACTGGAAGTATTGTAATTCAAGTTTGAGTCGCAGTTTGTTCGATGATGGGTTTGGGACACTCCAGCTCATTAAAGATGGAGTTTTGACTGTTTTTATGTTGTGTTTTGTGGTGTTTGAGGCTATTGCAGACCATCAGAGGAATGTGTTCCATTGGGACAAGCAGTTGGGAAAAGTTGATGGGTTCTGCAAGAGTGGTCTGTTTGCCTACTGCAGACATCCGAACTACTTATGTGAGAATCTTTTTTGGTTCTGTTTGTGTTTTTACACTTTGGATGTAAGTGACATGCCATCTATCTTCAACTGGAGTTGGCTCGGAACTGTACAGTATATGCTGTTATTCCATGGGTCCATAAACCTTACTGAGGATATTTCGATCAACCGCTATGGACGGAAGTTTAAAAAATATCAGAAAGAAGTGCCTATGTTGTTCCCAAAATTCTTTTGAAAACATTTGAGTAGTTGTTGCGCAAATAATCAAAATGTGCATGTAAATTGTTGTTGAATTACTTCATGCAACAGGTGTTCTCGTCAGACAAGAGTTGTTAATTAGTTGTATATCAGAATAGACGAAACTAATTGTTTTCATACAAATGGCAGTTTTCAAAAAAGATTTTTTTTTCTCTCATTGATTCGGCAGCCGAAGATGAATAGAAGTTTTTGGATGTTTGGGCGTGTTTTTATCAGATAGGTTTGTGTGTAAACCATATTGAAATCCTTTCAATCCTGACTCGAGCTGCAATAAGATCGCCAAAAACTTCTCCCTTTAGTTGGATTCGCACTTACTGTATGCGATGTTGTTTCACGGATATATTGAAACCACTGGTTGAAATGTGGGACCAAGATAACATCATCATTTAAATTAAAATGAACGATGGGGTGGAGGATGTTAACTTGGTCTCTTGGGGGGGGGGATGTCAACTTGATCCGAAATGTGTTTCTAATTGGGTGAGTTAAAGTAGATTTGTAAAAAGTTGTGAGTTTTACTTCTTATCGGCTTTTTTTTCAATCGACGTATCTGAACGATGTCAATTAACCTGAAACTGCTCCTTTTAACGTCTAAAACGAATTTTTTACTCATTTGAGCAATTAAAAAACCGTGTCAAAAAATCTAAGTAACCTGAAAGCACCGTTAGTTTTTGAACGGTTTAGCTGCTCAAGGGCACCGATATTGCTCACTCTTTGGCATTAATGTTACACTATGAGAGTGTACCTTGATGACCTCCGGGTCGTATCTGAGGTCCTTTTTGAGTGCGACGAGGATGTTCCTGGCCTGAGGACAGAACTTGCGCACCTCCGGCATCCACTGGTCCTCTATGTTGTCCAGAGAGTCTGGATTGTCCACTGAGAAACAGATGACGCAGATGTCTGCAGAGTGGTAGGAGAATGGACGCAACTGGCTGTATTCCTCCTGGCCTACATACAATACATTAGGAACATTGGAAAACTAGGATTTGCTCGAGGGGGGATTTTCAAACAATTTTCCACAAAATAGTCGATTATTTTTTTAGTTCGACCAAATTGATTCCCCGAGTAATCTAAGCACACTACAAAGAACCTAATTTGACCAAAAAATTTGCGCCGCCGGCAAATTTTTAACAAATGATTCAGGGGCGGACGCTTTTCTCTCAGGGATTCCAACCCCTCACTAACCAAAGGATCCTTCTTTGGCATTTTAAAGACAGCCATTTTATGCCGGCCAATCCTAAAATTTTTCTAAAGGCGCCTTTGGCTCCAATGTATACTAATTTTGAAGGGGAGCGCGCGCCAAAAACACGCAACTTTTCGATCAAAATTTTCGAAAAAGTGTCCAATTTCGAAGGGTGTGCAAGTATCGAAGAAGGTTAAGCGAGACCTTTTCAAAATTAAGAATCAAAATTTGTGCCAGAAAAACTTCATTCTTCCTGCAGTGTTTTTCAATCGAATTAAAAAGAACGCTGCAAAGTTTGCTGAATATTTGCTGAAATAGTTTTAAAATTTCATTGTATAATTTGTTTGTGTAATTTCCCGTATATTTAGTGTGAAAATCAAACCAGTTTTCTTTGACACTTATACGAGTTCTTTGGAATTTGCATCCCATCTGAAAGAGTTTTAATGTGATGACGCTTTCGATCAGCAAGGGTATTGGAATCGGATACAAAAATTCTTCCCATTAACTTTGTTCACAGAATGGTCAAAATTATAAATAGCAAATTTAAGTTCAGTTCATAACGAATTCAAATTTCGTTGCGTCTCCGGCACGTTTGGAGAGAACACTTGGATATGACGCAAAAGGTCCTGGGTTCGAACCTGACAGGATCTATTTTTTTTGCAGACCGGAAATATTCCGTTTCAGAAAGTTGTCGCCGTATTAGTTGCCTGCTATGTTTTGTTGGAATAGTTAACAAATCGTAGAATATTTTTGCCGTACGCATTTCACATTTATGTTGCTTTTAGTGTTTTCGTTTATTTCTACTGTTTGTAATTTTGCTAGCCTTGACTTCGTATACTTCCTTTTTTTTTCTTCTTTTTTTCGCTTAAAAGTTTTAATCTGCCCAAATGATTTAGGCTTATATTTAATTGGCTTAGTGACCTATTTTTGAGGCGTTCCAAGCGAGACATAATTTTTCTGACCCCTTTGGATTGCATAAAATGCTAAAAAGCTTAGAATAGAAATATAGTTCATATTTCATGACAACAATTTTATTTCGGGTCTACAAGAGTTTACACAAGTTTTGTCGTAGTACCCGACGGGTCCAAGCATCCGACGGGATTTTCCTTAAACGCTGTTGATTGTTTCTGGACTGGTTTTCCTTGAATAGAACAGCGTATCAGGCAAAACTTAGGTGTACGGCTTTTCCATTTTGTTAAAAGTTTTCAATGCTATCCTTTTCTTCCCTGTCTGCTAGCTTGCAATGCCCTTTTTATGTTATATCGCAAGTGGTGCGAAGCTCGGATTCGTCTCTGTGTATAACACTCGAACCCCTGCGAGCTTTCTTTAATGTATTGATAATTGGGGCAGTGATATCCAGTTAAAAAAAGATAATTGGGGCATTGATATCCAGGCAGAAAAGTTTAAGTGTTGATGCTAGTTTTGAAAGTATTCGCCATGCAAATTTAGTCGGACATTATCATTTAAATTGCCACAATTGCTGATTATCGATCGATGGAGAACGGTTGAGAAAAGGTTTGCAGTGGCGTGGAAAACATGATTCCTTGGCCTTAATTAGATTCAGAATACACTCCTGAAAGGCTAATATATCAGCCAATTTTTGTTGGTTAAATTAGATATCTTTTTAACCAAATCGGTTTAACCAATTTTTTATCGGTGGTTAAATCAGGTTAACAAACCATTTTTTAAAACCAATTGATTAAATCAATTGTTAAACGATTGGTTATATTGGACATCACTGATAGAGAGGTTAAGGAGGTATGGTGGCCACCCCACGCCATTCTTGCTTCCCAATCTAGAGTGATTGGAATAAGAACAAGTTAAAGCGTGCAAGTTAAAGCCCGTTCCAGATGGTTCAGTTCTCGTCAGGATCTGTTTTTGATAACTGAAAAATGTATTTGTTAGCTGAGTTGCTACAGCACTGACGTTGTTTATGATTTTAAAGTTTTTTGTGGTTTTAATTTTGTCTGTTCGTGCTCCTCTTAGTCAAAAGAAAGTATTAAATGTAGCCTTGTCTTTGAACCCTTAAAAATAATTAACGGAAGAAACTATGAAGTACGGTGTTTTTAAACTTGTTTTGAATACTTCAAAGAAAGCTCTAGAAAGTCAAGTGTGGTATCATTTTAAAGACCAATGGCTTGGGATTCCATCGTTTTTTTAATATTTATATTTTGTTATTAAAATCATTATCACTGGAAGTTTCCGTGCGACTTGCTTTTAGTTTAAGTTATGTATCATCGTATAATTTGAGCAAAAAAATTGAAAACCACGCCCTGATAATGCTAGCGTAATGTGTGGTATAGCTTTTAAAAGTTTTATCGGACAACGGCTATAAAACTTGGAAATTTTTTACGTTATTTAAAAGACCAAATCAGTTTGCGAAAAATTCAAGTTTTTCTAAGCTGGCCATTCAAGATTCGAAACCTTGAAATTTGTCAAGTTATTTCATGAAGGGAATCGGATAGCGAAAGAAAAAATTTTCTATTCAAGCCATTCAATTTAAGAAGTTTTAAAACATTTCAAGTTATTTCATAGAGCGAACCGGTTCGCAAAAATCTTTTCTTTGCAAGCTAATTAAGCGATGGAACTTTGGGAATATTTTGAGCGCGAATCGGTTAGTTACCAAAAGTTAATTTTCCTTAGCATGCTCAGTACTCTTTTCAGTTCCTTCGTTTCAGAATCGAGTTCATCTTGTTTAAATTGTTATGGAATTTTTTCATAGAGAAATCGAGAATATTCCAGCTCGAAACAATGTTTAAAAATCTGAAGCGTCATTTTGATTTTGACTGAAAACTTCTAGGATTTTCTGCATTCAGAAGATTTTCTGAAACGTTGAGCTCAACGATCGCTCCATAGCGAGTTATGACAGCTAAAACATGTGATTTGTTTTTCTGTCATTCGTTTAATATAAAGATAGATATATAACTCGGTTTCACTGTCTTAAGGTCAGAATTATTTCAAAAGTTAAAGACCTTGCTCAACAAATTTGTTAAAAGCTATATATACTATACCTGCTGTGTCATGTATTGTCATATCAACTGTGGTGTGGTTCACTTCGATATCTTTGCAGCAGTTCTCAAACACAGTCGGCTGATAGTTTTCATAGAAATCCCCGTTCACGTACACTTGCAGAAGACAACTCTTTCCTGTCATTCCGTCCCCAACAACCACTAATTAATGGTGCAGCAAATATGATACGCTGAGCTGGATCTCTAGCAATTTTCGTTATTTTTTTTAATGAAAAGATTTAAATTCAGTAAGTTGGATTTTTTTTTCCTCAAATGAAAATAATAGTGCTGCTTGGCAACCTTGCTATCTTTAAAGAAGTATAAATTTTTCTCGGTGTCAAAAATTTTAATTTGTTACCTTTTTTCAAAATTTGATAAGAACTACGGATATCCGGTCGACTCAATGTTTTTCTTTTGTGATTCAGATCATGATTTATTTCATAATCATAGCTTTAGTTTAAAAACGCCCCCCTTGCCCCACCCTACGCCCAATTTTTCCGAGGACTCGTGAATCATATGTGTACCTAATGATTTCCGGATTCTTTTGGTGGATGAGCTTGCAGGACTTGTAGAAGTTTTGACCTTGTCGCTCATTTTAAAGGGGTTTGTCTTTTTAGTTTCGATTTTAACTTGTGAAGTAAATTAGACTAAGACGACAATATCCCAATTATGTGCGCTTTTACTGCAAGTAATTCTAATAACTTTCCAACGAGCAATAATCGGTTATTTTTAGATTTTTTGCAATGATATTACAGAAGTATATATAATTATGAAATGGAACTGAAATGAATGTATTTTGCTATGATGTCTGATGTTTGTTCGTGGTAGAATGTGTTGTTTTAATTGCCAAATTATGACGCTCTATTGTTGTTACGAAAGAGCATAGTAACTAAATTATACGTGATGGAAATCAAGTGATGGTAAATGAAACGTTTGAGGGTTTTGTGGGTTCATCGAGAAATCATCTTGGTTTATCTCAGTTGTGGTTTGTGAATTGAATGGCTAAGGTAGCGGTTAGAATATACCTGGTTTAGTTCATTTTCTCCAGATGAAGTTGAATTGAGCCGACTTCAGCGGTTGGATCCAGTTTTGAATCGGGTCAGCCAAACTTAGCAAATCTTGTCTGTGTTAATTTCTTGCAATTGTCGTCTCTTTATCTCACAATGAGCGAGTTATTCTGAACCAGCACATCTTTTTTGAACTTTTTGCCAATATATGAGCACATGTTTTTTGAGCATTTGTCTAGTCAAATGAAACGAGACTCACTAATTTTGAACCTTATAAAGTTTTCGCGTTTAGACCATGTGTTAATAGAAAATCAGTTTCTATCAATTTGGACAGGGCTTTTTCTAGACCGGGGGAGAAGGGTGGGGGTCGGAGCCTCAAAAAACTTTCGAAAATTTTGTCGACGTTTGTTTAGATTGACTAAATTGATTTTTTGAGCTCTCCCAGAGCAGTAAAAAGACCATGTTTTGGCCAAACTTCTTGCGCCCCAGTCAAAATTTTTCAGAAAACAGGTTAATAGAAGCCTTTTTAGGCATTTTTTGGAAAATTTTGACCAAAAAAATAGCCTTTTTTGGCGCGCGCTTCCCCCTCAAAATTAGTAAATATGGACATCGAAGGCTGCTGGTCTTAAATTTAGGGTCAGCCAGCCATAAATGGGTATCTCAAAATAGTACAAAGGGGTCGGCCGGGGGTCGAATCTTTGAGGAAAAAAACATGCCAACCCCCCCCCCCCCCCCCCCCCCCCCCCCAATCCGTTACTGATTACAACCCCTCCAAAATGTCAATTTTGATTTGCGAGTCAAATCGACGAATCTGCTTGTCTTAAATAAATCTTCATGAAAATTAATATTACACATTAGTATGTTCAAGTCAAATTGACAATTAATTCCTTTTCGCACTGTTATTGTCAAACAAATGTTTGAAAGCGTGATGTGACCTTCATGATCGGGGGAGATTAATAAGAAGATTGAATCAGTAAATTATTGACCAACAGAATGCAGCAAAATTATAATTTGCTACTGTTTTTATTTACAGAGGTGGAGATTCTGTAGTAGACATCATATGGGGAGATTGTTAAGTAGATCCTCATTATCTAATCTAGTAGATCATCATTATCTAATATTAATAATGGGGTTTTTTCAGATGAATTTGATGATGTTTGACTGAAGTTGTCTAGTAATTAAATGGCTTCAAAGCGGCCTGCGAGTGCAGTGTCATCGGAAGGCTCTAGTGGACACCACGAGTCTTCTTCAGTAGTGGTGAAGAAAGAAGAGGCGGATGATGGACCCCCGAGCAACAAGAAAACGGCAGTGATTCCGCCCGTCTCTATCGGTCAGTAAAAGTCCACATTTTCACCGAGTTCATTGTTTTGTTCCGACTTCCGAAGAAAGTGAGGAATATATATGCTCGGGCTAGTTTTTTTTTATTATTCAGAACATCACAAAACCATTTGCTCCTTCGGGGGATCGATCTCTTGATCTGCATTGTACCAGCCGACTGTGAACACCACTGTAGTAACCTGCCACGAGTGTGTCTAAACTGCTCGTTTTTTTCAGTTAACGTGGCGAATTATCCTGCTCTTGATAATCGTTTCAAGTTGAAGTGAGGCAAGCTTATTGGTCGCATTAACTCCATGCAATAAGAAACTCTAATCAATTTATTCGGAGAGAGAGTTACCTTGTGTAAGTTTTGATAATGCGGTTTCCAGCTTTAAGAGATAATGATACAAATAACTGTAATCGGAAATAAAGATTTTAGAATTTATGGATATGCACTCAGATTTTGGATATGAAAAATACCCGTTGAATTCTCAAATTACCGGAAACCTAACTGTGGTTCGTTTTTGTGATTTGATTTCGATTAAATTTCAAATTTTGGCAATTTCGTGTTATTTTGATTGAGATTGTTGACAATGACGTCATTCACTAGGCAGCCAGATGAATTTTTTGGTGTTATTTTAAGATAAGTTAGCCTGTATCATAATTCTATCTACAATTTAACTTAATTTTTTTTTTGCATTTTTTTGTTTCAGAATTTTTTTTACTGATTATTGATATTGTTTCCCGTAGGTCGCGTGGGTACATCGGAGGAAATGGACACTAGAGTTCTGGTGTTCCAGAATCGAAAGTTAGCCCAGCAGCTGGAGGCCCAAAAGGACAAAGAGGATGAGCTTCAGAAGAGAATCAATGACATGGAGCAGGTGCAGGCACTCAATGACGACACCCTATCTACTGTGAACAAGTATTGGATACAGGTTAGTTTTGTTCTGCAAGAGAAAGAATTGATGGACTTTCTGCTATTGTGGAGCGTAATGCTTAATTCGTTCAGACGATTTATCACCGAGGGAAAGGATCAGTATACGAGTTGTTCAGTTATTTACAGTCCCTTTTGTGCCCCTGGCTTAGTACTACATGCCATTTTTTGAAATGAAACTATTATAATTACGCTTGCGGTTGGCAAGTGTTACCAAATCGGAATGTAGACTTTTTTTCGGGTATCAACTAGTTTAACAAAATCAGAGATTCATATGATGCTGCTATTCAGCTAACATGCTCAATTTCAAGCAAATTCAAATTAAACTACTTGGTGAATTAGTTAGTTAGTTTAACTTGGTGTAGGTACTACAGGGTGGACTCATTGGGGACTTGAAACTTTTTTAAAAAATTTACGAAATTATTTTTTACCGGCTCAACTGGTGTGTGCTCAAAGGTTGTCGGCCTTGTTTCCACTTCCTAAAATTTGTTCAGTTGCTAATTTGAATTTCAAATGTCTCGCTTGGCATTTTTTCCTAGAATTTCTGTTCGATAAAAACAGGTATTATGAAAGTGTATGGGCTGGGGTGTTTTTGCTTTTTTGAGAAGCTTCTCAAAAACTCTTCTCCCCATTTTCACACAAGGGTTATCCTCCATAAAAAGACCGCCTAGCTTTTTGTGTGCCTGCATACTCCCCTGGTCTCTTTTTACTTAACCCTTAACAGACTTCGAAAAAGTCTCTGTGGTAAATAATTGACCGATATTTAAAAAAAAATTTTTTCTCGTTTTCTCAAAAACTAACCTACCAAATCTGAAATTTTGATTTCAATGAATAGAAAGGGTTTCAAAAGCTCCCCTCCATAAGCGGCTACGCCCAGACTTTTTTACACATAAAATTATGGCCCTCGAAATAATCAAATTTTTGATTTTTTTGACCATTTTTGGGTTCGTTTTAAACTTTTCTCGAAAACTAACCTTCCAAATCTGAGATGGTGGGTTGAATCGAGATAAAGGGTACTGGGAAGCTCCCCTGCATTAGAGGACACTCATAATTTTTGTTAACTTCGGAAAAGTCAATTTTTTGAGCGTTAGCTTTTATAAATTTATGATGTTTACCGAAATATACCCTCATACATCTAATTTTGTGGGTTCAATCCAAAAAACGGTTTGTCGGAATCTCCTTTGCATACGCGACTACGCCCAAAATTTTTCGACACAAAAAGTTTTGGTCCTCGGAATAGTCAAAATTTTGAGTTTTTGACCGTTTCTCGAGAACTACCCTGCTAAATTTGGGTTTTCGAGTTCAATCGAAATTACAGGTTGGGTGAATCTGTTCTGCATAAGCGGCTATGCCCAATTTTTTTAAAACAAAATGGTATGATTTTCGGAAATGTTAATTTTCTGATATGTTGACCGTTTTAGGACTTTTCTCGATAGCTATTTTGCCAATTCTGATATCATAGGTTTAATGGAAACACCAGGTTGTTGGAAGCTGATTTTTATTTTTTGCTACGCCCAGTTTCTTTTAGAAAAAGTTATGGAAAGTAAAGGTTCTGAAAAATTGACCGTTTTTTGGACGTTTTTTGACTCTACTCAAAAATTACCGAGCCTATTCTCATGTTTAGTGTTCAATCGAGAAACCCGTTTATAGGAATCTTCTCTTATTTACCGGCCACGACTTATTTTGAGCAGAAAAGATTGACGGATTTCGGAAAGTTAATTCTTTGAACTTTTACCGTTTTTTAGAAACTTTTTCTTAAAAACTACGCTATCAAAACTATGAAAATTTCAATCGAAAGAAGCAGTTGGGCGAGTTTATCGTGAAGAAATGGCTACTCCCTATTTTTGTAAGAGAAAGGTTATGTTTTTGGGATAATTCAAAAATCTCAAACAGTTTCACTCTCACGTAAGTAGAGAAACAACTAAGGATTTGGGCAAAGTGCAATTTTTGAAATTACGCATTTCGTTCCGCATCAGTATAACAAATTCAGAAAATATAAACGTTCCTCCATCAAGACATACAAAAATATTGGTTCACTTAGTTTTTTTCAACATTTTTCATTTTTTTGACTGCTTTTTATGATTATGTTGTGAATTATATGTGATCAATAATTGATTACGTATTATAAGAATTAAGAATTTAGCAGTAATTTTGTTTGCAGTTGGATGAGAATTTGAAGCTATTGGTGGGTCGTCTGAAAACAGAGGATAGGTACAAGGAGTTCCTGGTGGACCTCAACCTGGGGTTCGAACCCCTCCCCAACAGTGTCAAGTGGGAGAACTCCAACTCATCCTTCGCAGACGCCAATCTAGCCCAGGACCATGACGAAGAGAGCAACAGCGAATCAATATCGGCTGCGTCCAATTCCAAAAAAGGCATGTTGTTCGATTTTTTAACAGCAATGCCACAGTGTCATGGACGCTATGGATATGCCGTGGATTAGTTGGATGTGCCATAGATTATAATGGAGAGAAATTTGAAATTAAAATTTTCTGGTCTCTGAAATTTCGAAGCAAATGATTATGAGGTTTTCGTTGCTCTTAGCGCTGAAAATGGAGGTGAAGTATTTAACGGATAATTTTTAAACCCGTGGTAATGTTTATTAAGACGCAAGTGGTTTTTCTCTGAAAAAAAATCAAGTATCAGGCATTGATAATAAATGATTTTTGTTCTATTTCGATTCGCAGTTTTATATCTATTTGAATTTTGATGGATTTTTGTTTGAATATGTTTTGATTAAATCATGTTTTGCAGCATCTGATTGTTTTGACAGTCAATTTCTTCGAAAATGATGTCAAAATTTTATTGTATTTTTTGTCGATAGTGATTTCGTTCAGGTCATAGCGAGTCGTTTTTGCGACACCTGAAAACGAGTGAGAAGACGGAGCTGGATGAGGGCTTGTCCTCTCGTGTCAACTTCACCTCGAAGATCATGCACAAGCTAGTCTACTCCATAGAGACTGAACGAACACTTGTGAACGAATTCTTCAACAAACTGAAAGGTAATTAATGATTCAGAAATGAGCGTAGTGAAGACTTTTATATGGGTCTTTGTGATTTTTGTTTGTTTGTTTTTCAGCAAAGCAATCTTAAAATTTGTTCATATTCATCTTTGATTTTTCGGGGTTTGACTAGATTTCTTTTTAAATCAATTCAATATCATTTGCTTAAAGGAAAGGAAATTACTCTCTCCGATTATGAAATTGGAAATAGCGCCAAGAAATGTGAATTTTTTTTAGGATTTCCAGCGGAATAAAAAATATTGACCCAGTTTTTTCTAATTGGCTTAGTTTTGTGAAAAGTACTACTTATGGGCTTCTTGAAATTGAAAAGCTTCAACTTAGTGTATTTTTTTACTTTTCAATTTGAAAGTTGAGAGCTAGTTATGATTGCAAACTTTAATTGCATCTGGAACCTTGACGGAAAGTCTCTTATGTGATGCCAGCTTTGCTCGGGTGTGTTTAAGTTTTTTGGGGCAGTAGTTGTAAAAGACTTCAATTTACCCGGTGAGGAATTACTAAAAATGAGCAAAAACTCAATCAAAATTGATATCACATTATGTACACATGTACATAATTAAGTACATTATGTGGCTCCTGATTTAGCGTTTGTTTTGCTCTTATTTTGAAAATATTCAATGTTCGTTTCAGATGTGCTGTCGGATGAGATCCAGTGGGCGGATGAGGCGAGCACGGAGGGAGTGATGACGTCATTCAAGGAGTATGTGCTATATGTGGTAGATGCCAATGACTCACTCACTCAACAACTCAACTCACTCCACCAGAAGTTCGACACTGCCAGTTTACAGGTGAAGCTAAATTGAATCATTGAAAAAGTAAAAATTGGTTTGAGCAAAATTGCCCGAAATGGTTCTTAAGAATTTACGTTAAGAACTAGAAAGTCTTAAGAATTTCTTTAGAATTTTGTCCATTAGTGTTCAGGGTAGAATTGTGTTGGGTAAAACTGCATAGGAAAGATTGGAATAAAAACGAGTGTGATGGAACCTAAAAATCATAGTCAAAAAGCGGGTTTTTTAAATTATATTGTTTTAATAGTGTTTTAGAGAAAAAAGGAGCCTTCTTAGTAAAATAATGGAAAGATTTTGTGTACGGAAGGATTTTCAAAGAGGTAAGTTACGAAAAATGTTGAAAATGACTCAAAACTGACGCGTTTACCCACCATCAGATTTTTTTGATAATAAGTTCAAAAAGCCAGCGCCGAGAGCGCCTCGTAAAATTGCATAGAGAAAAAAAATCGACTCATGAACTTCGATCAAAAAGAGAAAAGAACCTTAGCGGATCTCGAATTTATGTAAAGTTAGTTTTCTGATTCAATCGTGTTAAGATGTTGGGCACCCGTGACAAACTTCTCAGATGCCAAGAAGAAAACGAAGACCTGAAAGAGAAGATCGAGGATCTAGAGCACGACTTGACTCACTCCCGAGCGAAGTCGGACAAGTTCGAACGACTGCTGGTGGATGCTCTGCAGAATGGAGGCAAGCCACAGTGTAGAGTAGTCGATCCAGATAATGCTGGCTCTGGAAAACTGGGCACGCCTTCCACTCCCGGAGCACCTGTTAGTGTGTGAAAGGCTATTTACAAAATGAAAGAAAAAAAACAATTTTATAACAACTTTGGGGTGTTTTCGGTTTAAAGTCCTAAATTAAACCTATGTGGTTTTTGGACAAATCCTATATTTAACGTTATGTGGTTTTTGGACAAGTGGATTAGGTATGATGTCGGATCTAGAGTCTTCGAGAGGAGGTAGCCTTAAGGGGCAGAATGTTCGAATACCTGCGGGGCTCTTCCTACCATCTCCCTAAATCGGCCCCTCGGATTAAAATTGCTTGAAGGTGAATTTATCTATTTTGACTTGAATTGATCGATTGGTTTTCTATTTTTTGAGCCCTAAATGCATGCATGAAGTGAAGCTATTGGTCATTAATAGGTATTTATAGCTTTGGTTGTTAACTTGGGACTTTCCCTTTGTAGCCCCTGCCTAGTATCAAAAAACTGTAACGCCGCGACATTTTCATTAGTATTATGATCGTGACAGTGCGGGTATGTTAGGGGGAAGGGGGGAGGGGGGGAGGGGTGGTGGTCTATAATGGGATTGTTCTGTCGATGAAAACGTGGTAATATGTAGTTATATGGCTCCTATCTAAATGAGTGAAAAGAATCATTGGCTTGTTAGTCCGCCCACAAATTTCCTGGTGAGAAAATTTCGATTCGGGTATTTCGCTTTATCAGACCTCACAAAAAATTTTTTCAAACTGTTTAAAACTCGTGTTAGAAAAAGCTATTTAAATTTTTCACTATTCAGAAAATGAGTAATGGTCGAAAAGCGCAAACTCTTCCAATCTTGTTTGTATTTCAATTGTAGTAGTTGTACCATCATTCTTGTATGGATTTGGCGCCGTTTTTTGTCATTTAATATAGTATTTAAAGAGAAAAAACAGGCTACAAGCAAATCCAACAAAAAAGGGGACGGAAAACGGTTTTCTATTGGTATTTACAATAAGTTCGGACCGGGATTCGAACTTGAGATGTTAGTCGGACACATGAGATTCATGACTGTTACTTTACCTCAACGCCAGCCTGGTCTTCGAAATCAGTTGTTTGGTTCATTTAGAAGGTGTCTGGTAGCGAAGAAGACGTGTATGGAGAAGACTACCTGAAGTGCACTCTGCATAGAAAAGAAGAGACAATCGAAGCCTACAGCACTGAGATTGCGAACCTCAAAAAAGCCCTGGAGGAAGCCACCTTAGACGTGAGTTGTTTAGACAGTGTATGAAATCATCGTACTTGCTCGTAGATACAATTGAGCATCTGATAATTGGAAACCGGTTCTAGGAATCAAAGAGAAGATATGATGATTTAGTAGGTTTAATTCCTGCAACTCCAAAAGGGCTTCGATTTGAATTTAAAACTTTGCTCTTAAAAAGTTTACTAATTATACGTTCTCGGAAAGTGTAGTTTTTTATATGATGATTTAGTAGGTTTAATTCCTGGAAGTCCAAAAAGCGCTTCGATTTTAATTTAAAACTTTGCTCTCAAAAAGTTAACTAGGTATACGTTCTCGGAAATAAGAGTTTTTTCATATTGTTATAGCATTTGTAAAATTTTATGCTGTGCCTAATGTATATGGACTCCAAATTTAAAGTGAACATATTTTCCCTTGATAATTATTTTTTATTTTGTTTTCCACTTTTATTTTGTTTTCCAGTTCAAGAATCTGCCGGAAGACCGAATCACGACCAGCTGTGAGTACAAGGTGCTGCAGAGCAAGTTCAGTGTGATCTTCAACGAGAACCAGCAGCTGAAGTACCAACTGGACGAAATGCGCAATCTGCTTCAGGGCACTAAGACCAACCACCGCAAACACATCGAACAGATGGAGGTATTTTTGATTGTTCTATATTAACGACTAGAGGGAATCCCTCGTGCACAGAGTGCGGTCTCTATTTAGACAACCGCGTATTCATACTCGTCAGTAAGCAGAGAAATACTGTATGAACCAATATCAGAATCGAGATGAGAAAGCAAATTTACGAAATAAATATTAATTCATTATTCATTTCTTACTTGTCTCGATTCTTATTGGTTAATACAGTATTTGTCTGCTTACTGACGAGTCTGAATACGCGGTTGTCTAAATACTGCTACGTAACGCTCGTGCACGAAAAACCAAAAACTCGAAATTTATGTCAGCCAATCAGAATTAAGTATTCAAAAAGCGGAAAGAAATAGCCAAGCCTGGAGAGTAATTCAGTTTTGGACTGTTTAAAGGACGTTGATTGGTTGAAATTTTTCGCTTATTCGGTCCATCGGCCATAAGATACGACACTAAATGAATCTGACTAGTCAGTAGAAAGAGTTTTTACAATTTCTAAATGCTTTTTTACTATTAAAAGGCCTAAGTGTAGCAATATATGTGGCCTAAGTGTGGTCAAAAATGCATATTCAATAATGAATTTTCGATCCCAATTGGCAACTATACTTTTAATTGCTGAAGATGCAGTGAAAAAAAAATAAACTAAAAACAGTTACTCCATGAGGGAAAAATCAGAATACTGGCTGTTCAGCTCTTTGAGGAGAATAGAAGTCGTACCCTTCAAGTTGTTTGATAGTTTTTTGGAGGAATTGTATCCTCACCTCAAGCAATGCGCACGAATCATGATGGGCCTCGAACCACCGATCTTTTTACCGAGAAGCCGTCTTGGAGCTTTCTCGTGCAAAAACAAGTGACAAAACTAACACGAGTGGCTGGTCACTGTGCAAAATTGGAAAAGAAAAAAGCAAAAAACTAACAAATTTTTTTTCTCTAGTCCGAAATGTAATGATGGAACCACAGATTTTTAATTAGTGCCAAATTATTAGCAATATCTTTTTTCATTCAACGAATCTGAACGAAGTTAAATAACCAAGAAGTGCTCATTTCGACGTATTTCTGCTTTTCGTTGATTTTCACACGTAAACATTGTGCAAAAAAAAAACGAAATAACCTAAAATGGTATCGGTTTTGACCGTCTAAATTACTCAAATATCACAGATATTGCCGACAATTTGGCATTGACTATAAATATGATTTTTAACCATTTACTTATTGTTAAAATAGAAGAAAAACTTTTTCATCCATTAACGAAAAATTTTACATACCTATATCGAGGAACCCTATTGAGTCCCTGACTATCAGCCCTTTTCGATCTTTGATGTTTTGATATCGATCGGAGCTTTCAAGTCAGGGTGTCTGCAACCAAACACACCCCAACCCATAGCACCCTTTGTAAAAGGGCAGTGGCGGGTTTGCTCGGGATGAGTCCAGTCACAGACGGGGTTGTTTCCAACTACAGAGCAGCTGGCAGAAAACGAAGTAAGCGAAGTAAGCAAAAGGGGTTCATATACGACCAGAAAAAGCCAGTTTTCTATGCACTCCGAAAAGCTTCATAGTAAACATAGCAGGTGACAGAGACGTTTCTTCAACGGAGCGCACGTGTTGGCGCTGGATTAACAAAACTGAACTGTGCTCTGCTGTTAAAATGGCTCTGTATTTATACCATCTAATCAAAAAACACGTGAACAAACAGTAACGTCATGGTATAAACTGGCATATGACATCATTTTGCGTGCAGTTGGTTGGTTGGCCGAGATAAACGTTATTAGCTGCCAAATGTCAAATCTATGAGTAGCTATTTCTATGAGCACGAAGTTGACTATCTTTTTCTTTTGGCTGTGGTCAAAATTGTTACCAAAACAAGTAGAAATGATTCAACTTCAGCTTGCTTGAATATTATGGTACACTCTTGAGAAATGAACGCATAAAACTGTAATGTTTGGATCTCGCTCCGGTGAATGAATTAAATATTTTTAATATAAGAAGAGAAATCTACTAAATTAAATATCAGCTGCAGTGTTTGGAATAAGGCTTTGGTATTATGAATCTAAATTCCTGACTCAGCCTGATTTGGATAAAAAGTTTCAAATAGTAGAGTTTTCAAAAAGGGCGCTGGTTTGCGAGTGTACAAAGCAAGTGTATCATGAAAAAAAAAACGCGCCGGACTTTTTTGGTACGAAAATGGCGCAAAAAAACGGTTTCCTTGAGTTAAGCACTGAATTCTGTTTGTATGGGGTGCCACTTTTGCTGAATGGCTTTGGCAATTTATTAGCATATGTAGCTGATTTATTCGTGACTAGTGTTTGTCGGTGGTTAAGCGTGCGTGTCTAGTGCGTAAGACTCAAAATCTCTTGATTGCCCTTGGTCATTTTTGAACTGCCGTTTGTGTTGTTTAGAAAGACGAGTTGTCATGTCAGAAGAAACTGCGCAATGAAGTGATTCAACTGGAGGACACTTTAGCCCAAGTGAGGAAAGAGTACGAAATGTTGAGGAATGAGTTTGAGCAGAACATGGCCCAGAACGACCAGACACTTCCGATCAACAAAGAGATCACCCAGATCACAAAGACACTTATGAGCAACAATTCACACCTCAAAGCGGAACTCAGTCGACATAAGAGAAAACTCAAAGACGCTCAGTGCGAAATACTCAAGGTATGATTAAAATGCAAATATAGATACCTGCAAAAAGTTTGCACGGACAGAGCTAATTTAAAAGAGCAATCCGCCAGTTTTGAACAAGCTTGTATTTGTCTGTTCGAGATTTTTGGACAAAACGTCTGTACAGACCGAAATAATTAAAATGTCTTTTTCATTTTTTGATTGATTTTGGATGCTACTTCGATGTTTCTAAATATTTTGAGACAAAATTTGTGTCTGAGATATAGCTTTAGAATGTAAAACGTTTTAGAATAGATCAATTGCTCTTTTTAGTTAGTTTTTTTCTGTTCGAATTACAGTTCGAGTTAATTTAAAACAGCAATCTGCAATTTTTGCTTTTTGTGTTTGTCAACATCAGCGTCAGCTTAGTTTATTATTAAGAGCCTTTTTCTAGCCTATGTCGCAAATATTCGTGCCAATTTTGGGGTATATTTACAGCTTTTTGATAGCATGTGCTTTGACTTCCGAATAGTAATAAGTTAACACCGTTGATGCATTTTTAATTCATCAAATGAACCGACAAAAAAGTTATTTGTTTCAAACAATATAACAATAATAAAAACACGATTTAAGAAAATTTCTATCTCACAATCTTTTTCGCAATCTCAATCTATCTAGCAATTTTTTGAAATGCATACTTTTTACATAATGTGGCTTTATGCTTTGCGATGTGTTACATGCAAAGTTAGTGTGGATGTCTTCAGTTTATTATACTCCAAATTATTACTGGCAAAATTGTGTCTATTTGTATTTGGTGACACTTTTGCTGAATCGTATTGGCAATTTTTTAGCATATGTAGCTGATTTATTGGTGACTAGTGTTTGTCGGTTGTTAAGCGTGTGTGGCTGAGTGGCTAGTGCATGAGACTCAAAATCTCTTGATTGCAGTAGGTCGCAGATCGAATCCTAGACCTAGCCGAATTTGCTAATTCGAGGCGTACTTCTGTTTTTTCTTATTGCACTTTCTAGAGCTGCTTTTTGTCTTGTTCTCGGCAGTGTTTGCGAAGCAAAGCTTCGCTTCTATGTGTTTTTTTTGCCAACTCGATTTGTTAAAACATCATTTTTGCCTAAATTTTTGTCTTTTCGGCTTGATAGGTTTCGGCTCATTTATATTGACATGCTGGCTTCTCATTGTCGTTTGACGACCGAAAAAGTTTTTGTGTGCGTCTCTGTCTTCTTAAGGGAAGGGGGACTTAAAAGTTTTTTTTTATTTAAGTTTTGAGTTTTTTTCGTTATTGAGGGTTGCTGCTCAGGTTTTCTTTCGTTTTTATTATCGCTCGGTTATTACAAATTCAATCTAGCACCCGGCACATCTTGAGGCGACAAAGGCTTGTAGTTGAAATGCGAATGCGACCTGATTTTTGCAAACTTGAGTTTTTGTGCTTTTTCGGGTCATTATTGTCGGCTTAGTTCTCGTAGCTTGACTGTTTTTGAAGGTTCAGTTTTCTTCCAAGGTTGCACCCATGCTTGAGATGACAAAGCTCGGGATGTGATTCTAATTGAGACCTGTTCTTTCTGCAAACTGAAAATTTTCGTCTAGTTTAGATTATGGTCTGTCTGCTTATCTTTGTCGGCTAAGTTCCGCAGAAGGGACTTTTTTTAAATGTGGCTTTCTAGTCTTCTAAAGACTCGTTGTTAAGTTTCTTTTTTTTATGTAATTTTGTTCAAAATCTTTTGCGCTTTGGTTGCAGTTTTTGTAGTTTTTATGTACAAAAACGATTTTTTTTTTTGAAATTTTTTAAATTTTTTTGTTCATATGATTATAGTCATTCATTTCTGCATCGCAAGTGGTTGAAACCTCAGCTTCGCCTTTGTGCAAAATTTTGAGTCCACGCTATTTCTTTCAAAGTTTTGGCCAAATCTCTTTTTTCAAATGATTCTCTGTCCGAGATTTTTGCACCTCTCTTTAATAACACTATTTTAACATTTTGTCAAAAGCTTCAAAAGTGCTCTAAACGCCGTGTAACTTTTTGTTATCAAGAATATTTAAGTTGGTTTAAGTGGATATTTTGAAATTCAAATGGTATTATTGTATGATATATAAATGGTAAGGACTTCTAATTCTAAGAGTTTCATCGCTAAAATTGATATCTGTGCACTACCTTAATGACCAAAATTGCGAACAGATCTAGTGGTAATGTCAGAAGAATTTATTCAATAGTCAGAGGATAATGGGGAAATACTCTTTGGGTGATTTTGGCTTCTAAATTAGTTTGGATTTCAGCTGAAACAACAACTAGTTGGAGCAGCTGAGACGGCAGTTAAATCAGCAGCTGACAACTCATCATCGGCATCTTCTGCAACTGAAAAGTCGCCGCATGACTCATCGTCAGTCGTCGAAGAAGGAGAACACATGCAGGTACAAGTATGGTGCAATGGTAGTACAGCAATCAGCATTTAAAAGTTTCAAAGTTCCATCGCTTGAAGGGCTTACCAGAAATACTGTTGGCCATCCGATTCTCTTTTTTGAAATAAGTTTGAATTTTTTTAAAGTTTCGTGGATTGAATAGCTTGTTTACAAACACTTTTAAGAAAGATTGATTTTTCGTGGACCGATTCGCTCTATGAAATAAGTTGAATTGTCTCTAAATTTCGCTTAAAAGCTTGCATAGAAAAACTTGAATCTTTTGCGAACCAGATTGCTCTGTGAAATAACTTGAAATATTTCAAGGTTTCATCGCTTGAATAGCTTACTTAGAAAAACGTTAACTTTTCGCCAACTGATTCGCTCTATGAAACAACCTGATTTTTTCGAAGTTTTCTTGCTTTAATAGCTTGCTCAGAAAAACTTTTTTTTCGCGACTTGATTCGCTCTATGAAACAGCTTGAAATATTTTCAAGTTTCATTGCGTGAATAGCTTGATCAGAACAACAACTACGTTTTTTACAAATCGATTGATTATTGGAGGCGGGCTTGCTAGTACATATAAAAGATAAAAGAGATTAATTCAAATTCGGCAAGAGTTATTCAAATTTAGAATTTGCAATTGTTTCTCAAAATTTGAAACGAATGTCTAGATGATTGACCATGATTGGCCTCAGTCATTGTAAAAAGTTCGTATGAAATATGTTCCCTGCTATTCCTTCGAAAAATTGAATTAACGCTGGCAACCAAATGACCAAGCTTTTTTATTGTTCAAAAGTTTCGTATTTTTTGTTACTTGGCGGGTGGGGCTACCCTAGGAAAAAGACATTAGTTTTCGTCATTGAGAAATCTATAATTTCGTGAACCAACTATAATACTTGAACCTACCTTTAGTCACCGAACACTGCCCACCCTAGTGGGATGACAACAGGCACATCAGGGGGGTCTAATTCGTCTCCTAAGTCCAGCACGGGAAGCGGAGGGGGCAGTGATCACGATTCGAAGGAGTCGAGTATGCTGAAGGAACTGAAAGCACAGCTCAAGTGAGTGGAACGAAGTGTTTCGTCAATATGTTCATGCTACCTATGTTTTCTTGTAGTTTTAAAAAAATTGTTTAGTATAGTAGCATATTACTACCGTACAAAGTGAGTACGTGGAGAATTTTGGCAGTGATATAAAAACAGATTCGCAAATCTTGTTTGAATTGGTAAAAATAACTATTTCTAAAGTAGAAAGGGTTGCCCAAATTCAAAATTGATGTTAAATAAAAAACGCTTGAAGAAAAAGCGGAGAATTTTGATCTGCTTGAAAAAAAAAAACAGTTTTCGCGGATTCTTGGCCAATATGCGACAATAAGATACGGGTTTTGCCAAGCTTTTGGAAGAGCGGTAATAGCGCTGTATTGTTCCGACATACAGCAGTACGATGGTTTTCAGAAAGAGTCAGGAGAACTGCAGAGAGTACAAGATAATGTTGGAGGCGTACAAGGGGGCCTCGAAGGAACAGAGAGACAAGGTGCAGCTGATGTCCTCGGAGAGGAAGACTCGCCTGGAGATGGAGGATCTGAAGGGACAGCTGGCATCTGCGCAGGATCAGCTGGCCTGTTTGTCCTCCAGAGAGGCGCCCACACCAGAGAGGAAGTTGGCCAAGAGTCACGAGACTCTGATTGAGGAGTACAAGAAACAGCTGGCGTCCACCAAACAGGTATGTCTCGGGGGGGGGGGGGGGGGGGGTGGCTTTTTAAATAATCGGTGGTTAATGATTTCGAGGGGCAGAAGTTTTTGTCCTTCAACGAAAGTAGCTGAATTTAATGCCTGGAAGATCCTCCAAAAGTTGTGAGTGCTTTTATATTTAACCTCAAAAGTACAATAGCGAAGTAGTTATACGAAATAAAGTTTTGATGATGTTTCATCGGTTTATTTTACTGATTTGCGCCATGTTGCGCATTTCGGAAAAATGAAGTGTAAATGGAATTGCTCACATCCGATTGGTTGAAATTAAACCAATTGCGGAACTGTTACTATCGGTTAGAAATGGGGCTCTATTGAAATCGGTTAGAAATGGGGTTAGAATAAAAAATAATAGCTGTTGTCAAAAGTTGGGACAGACAGAATTAATTACACTACACAGATTGCTAGTTTCGACAAAATTTGCTTTAAAATTCAGTTTTATGGAGGCCAACTAGAGACATAATTTTTGTCTAAAATTTAGATTTCATATAAAAAGTTTTTCTTAATTATGTCATTGGCTCTTTTTAATGATTTTTACACTTGCGAGAGCAAGTGTCTTGTAATCGGGAACTTAACTTTTTTCTCGTAAACATCTTTTCTTACACAGCTGTAAGAAATTGTGTAGTTGCTTTATTAGTGAACCTTGGCAGCTTCGAGACCTTTTCCCACTTGGTCTAGACGGAACGCGGATGCCTCTGTACCCTAAGGTCTGGGGTTTGAGTCCCAGCTGGACCTTGTTTTTTTCTTCAAGTATGTATGAAATTGAAAAGAAAATTCCGCAAAAATTGAATGTTAAGACTTCCGTTTGTGTGCTCATGTTTTGTCGCCTCAGTTGGGACAGAAAAAATTCTTAGGCTGTCAGAAATTTTTCATCGTTTTTTTACTCCTATAATTTGTAGAATTACTACCCCTTCGTTGTAAATTTCCTTGGTTTTCCTTTTTTGGTCAAAAATTTCATTCTTCCTGAATGGTTTCGTCTTGTTTCTTATCGGCTTAGTTATCTCATTTTGTTGTCTCGCTTCAAAGGCAAAAAAAGATAGATTTTTTTTTGAAAAATTCAAGTATTTTTTTTTGCTGCAAGATTTCGAGTTTTAAACTTCTTGTTCAAAAAAAAGTTGACAACAATTTCTCGTGGTATTTTTTGTTTCCGCTCGGCAAGTACCCAAAGCCTATTCAATAATGGTGGTTGTGTTTTTTGTTTTTCGACTGTTTTTTAAAATTATTTTCATCCCCCCCACGTCAATTTTGATTTTAGTATTTTCGTATCATTTAAAAATTTGCTAGCTGACATTTTTGCGCTTGCGTTGTATCGCAAGTCATGCAAAGCTGCTCTTCGCCCCTGTATATATATTCTAATTTTATGCAACTATCTATAAAAGGACCTCCATTATATACTTATAGGTTCATTGGATTATTTCATAAAATGTTTACGTGCTGAAATTATGCAAACTTTTTTTAGACATGAAAATTCAGCAGTCTTAGCTTAGTTATCTTCGTTCAAATTCATTGACGAAAAGAAAATTGCCAATAATTTGGCATTAACTGAGAATAAGGAGCGGGGTGCTATTTATGTTGTGGTTTGTATCTAGGAAGAGGAGGCGTTGCTGAAAGAGATGGAGGTTACAGGGAGGGCTTTTGAGGACATGCAGGAGCAGAACAAGCGACTCATCGACCAGCTGAAGGAGAAAGACAACGCCAACTTCAAACTCATGGCAGAGAGGATCAAAGCCAACCAGATCCAGCGACTCCTCCAGGAGGAAAAGGAAGTGCTAGGCGAACAGGTGTGAATATATGTTTGAGAATGAGTCACGTGAAACTCAGAAATCGCTTCATAAAGAACAAATAATAGCTTTTTTTGCTAAATTAGTTGTAAAAATTGGCTTGGTGGAGTGATTTGATGGCTTGTGATTTTTAAAAAAGTACGGGAAGATAGTAAAAAAAAAGAGAAATCTGAATAGACAAACTGAAAACGTAGACCATGTGTTTGTCCCTGCAAATGTTTGCCGACAAACTGAAAATGATTTTTAACTATCTCACAACTCCGTCAGTGTTTTTTCGGATAGTTATTTAAGTGTTAATAGTTTGATATGATTTTGCCTTTGACGTAAAAAATGCCCCGATGAACTGCAGTGATAGCGTAGATGGTACTTCTTCGGTTTAGCTGAAACTTCAAAAATTATTTGTCATATCCAAAAGCTGATGCAGGAATGTGTTTATTGTTAATGCTAGGAGTCATTTGAAACATGCCATTTGGTATATGGCGTTCTCTCAGGCTTGACATGGTTGTAAATTATACAAAACTTCGTTTTTTTTTGTCGTTATCAACTTGAAAATATTTTACTATGATCATTAAGTGTCAATGAACGCAGTGAAGGCACTTATTTAAGTCGTGATGTTTTTTTTTTGCTTTTTTCAGGAAATTTTTAATTTTGTTAACGCTCCAGTTTGATTTTTTTGCGATTTGACAGTTGAATTGTTTTTTTTTAGTTCACTTCTTTTTTTTTTTGATATCGAAAAGTAAAATTATGAAGATTACGAAAAAGTGAACGATCTCTGAGTAACGTGAACGTGGACGTTTCGAAGATTGATTTAAGTTTATATTTTTCCCAGCCGAATAAAATATTTACCTATTGATCAGGGATTTTTCAAATTGCGTTATCAACAAGTGGTCAAACATGATTTTTTTTGAAAATCAAAGAGCTTTCAGGGCGGGCATGTATTATTTTCTTTGAAATTCGAAAGTCAGTGTTTGTTGTTTCCTTGCGTTCATAGACACCTTTCTGAACTGTCTTGTTTATTTATGTTTCAGGTGATGACTCTGCAGCAGCAGGTGACCAGTCAGGTGCAGGTGGTGAGGAGGTTAGAGGACAAGGAGATGCATCTGATGAACAGCTACCACTCTCTCGAGAAGGAGGTCCATTTGAGGACCCAAATGTCAGAGACACTCAAGAAAAAGGTTATTAACATCCCATTCATTAATACCAAGACTCTTTTCCAGTTCTCCCTTCTTTGATTTTTGCTGAAAAATAATTCCTGAATGCAATTTAATGTTAGTTCTGCTTTTGTAGTAAAAAAAAATCGTATTTAAAGATGTCAGTGTGAACAAGTGTATAGATTGGAACAACATTAGATCTCGGATTTTTTGAAATTGAACCAGAAAAATGCGTAAAGAGGTAATTCTAGTGGTGTTATGGCACAGTGGTGATGGTGATTGCTCAGCCATCATATGATTGCAGGTTCGAAATCGTCCATGTGCAGTTATCGGCTGGCTTATATACTCAGTGCATTTTATATACTCAGTGCATTAGCCTAATTGTTGTGATAAACTTATTAAATAGATAAAGAAAATGAATACCAATGATAAAGACTGTGCGAACGTTGAGATGCCACCTCTCAAATTTCATGACCAGACCCTTGTCTGCTCTAACCCATCTGCCAAACGAACTTGCATTGAATTGAGCCCGTGTGGAGAGGAATCATCTATTGAAGAAAAACTGAATCTAGCAAAGAAGGTCGAAGGTGCGATATCAAATTCAGTTAATGCGTTGATCCCGAAGTTGCTTGATGACATTCAAGTGCAAATCAAGGAAGTTATAAATTTGGCGATAACAGAAGCAATATCAAAAGTGAAAGATGAACTAATGATATGGGTAAAGGGTGAAATATCTCACAGCGAAAAGAAGGTCAATCTGAAAACACTGTCGGAGTCTGAGTTGTTAGAGAACTACAACCGCAGGGATAATGTGAAAATTCTCGGGCTCAAAGAAACAACTGACGGGCAAAGGGAGATGATGGAAACAACAATAAAAAAAGTTGTCGACATAAGCAATGCAATAGAGGCCCAAATATCAGAGAGCGATATATCTATTGCGCACAGGCTACCATCTCGAAACGCCGGCAACAAGCTAGTAATTGTTAGATTCGCCAGAAGAATAAAGAAAATCGATCTCCTAAGAAAGAAAAAGAATTTGGTAAACCATGAAGATTTGAGAGATATCAAAATATTCGAAGATCTAAGTACTGCAAGAGTCAATTTCCTCAAAATCATGAGGTCGGATGAGAGAATTCAATCCACTTGGACCCGAGAAGGAACTATTTTTTTCATTTGGAAAGCAGACGAAAAGTTGTACAAAATTAATGGGCTGTATGAAGGTGGTCAGTTCTGGAATATAAATTGGATGTTGTTAGAAACTGTTTCAATGGTGTTTTCCGGAGCTCAGCAGGACAAATGGGATCGTAAAATGGATAAAGTGCAGGAACCAATTAGCCATAAAATTATTGATGCTTCTGTTAACTTATTACTTTCTAATGTACGATCATTAAAAAAACACCACGAAGATGTGGAAGCACTTCTAAGTAGTCTCGAGTCTCCGATAAATTTACTATGTCTTACAGAAACGTGGCTTAGGGAAATTGATGATGTTAACTTGTTTAAAATCACAGGTTTCCATACCATCATAACTAATACCAGAAAAACTAGAGGTGGGGAAACTATGATACAGCTAGGCGATAAGGTTAACTTATTAGAACAGCTTGAGAGTGGCATTCCAGAATCCTTATCAATCCTTGTTGAAGTTAGTGGTAAACAATTTATAGTTGTGTTGGCATATGTACCCCCACGATATGACAAAGTTAAATTTGTCGATGAGCTCGATAAGGAACTAGAGCGTCTTGCTCAGTACAAATTACCGATAATTCTAACGGGCGATATCAACATCGATACACTACAGAAAAATAAGTTACAGCAATCATATCTGAACACAATAACAGCAAATGGGTTCGAACTTTTGAGTAAATCTGCAACTCGAATTAGTGACACATCTGAAACTTGTATAGACCATTTTATAATCAGGAGTTTAGAAAATCCAACCATTGAAGTATTAGATAATGAATGCTTTTCTGATCATTATCCCATAATATTGAAATTTAATTTTGGCTTTAAAGGTGATTTATCAAGTTATTCATATCGTGATATGTCGTTCTTAACAAAAGAAAATAAAGTGAAGAATTTTTTGTTAAGTTTGAAACAAAACTTAAAAGATGCAAACCTGATCAGCGATAATAACATAGACCTTGCGTACAAAAAGTTCAATCACAGCTTAATGAAATCTCTAAACCTTTTTGCACCATTACGTAATATGATACACAAAAACAAAACTAATGCTCCTTGGTTCGCTGAAGGCTTGAAGAATTCGTTTATAAAAAGAAATCGCTTATACAAATTGTGGAAGTCAGACAAATTGAATTCTCTTAAAAAAGTTAACTTTCTTAACCAACGTCAAAAAGTCGAAAAACTTATAAGAGTCGCAAAAAAAGATCATTACTATCAAAATTTTAATAAATGTATTGGAGACTCGAGACAAGTATTTAAAGTTTTAAATGAAATAAATGGCAAGACCGCAAAATCATCAAAAATTTCAGCTCTCTTAATCAATAACATTAAATTATCTGACCCCGTTCTAATGTCTAACGCTTTTAATGATTATTTCGCTTCAGTAGGAACCAAGTTAGCAAGCAAAATTGACCACGTGGGGCCAGTGATTAAAATAGAAGACGTAAGCCAATCTATGTATCTCTTTAATTGTACAATTTGTGAGATAATTGATGTGATAGAGCGTCTGAAGCCCAAGCATACTTGTGGCATCGATGAAATTAGTAACCTTTTACTAGTTAAAAGCAGGTATGTGTTAGCACCTTATTTAACATATTTAACTAAGCTCTCATTTTGCTCCGGTATGTTTCCTCGAAGCCTCAAGTATGCTCGGGTTTTACCACTTCATAAAGCTGATAGCAGAATAATTATGAGCAATTACCGTCCAATATCACTTTTAAGTAGCTGCAGCAAAGTTATTGAAAAAATCATGCACTCTCGATTGTACAACTATCTTAAAAAGTTCGAATTACTATATCATCGTCAGTTTGGGTTCAGGGAGAAGTTTGCCACAGTTGATGCATTAGCTGAATTGACTTAAAGATTTAGACTAGGTGTTGATAAAAACATTAAATGTAGCTTCTTCATTGATTTAAAAAAGGCATTTGATACGCTGGACCATAAAATTCTTTTGAGGAAATTAGAATGCTATGGAGTACGTGGAAATTGCTACAAATGGTTCGAAAGCTATCTATCCAATAGGTATCAATGTGTACATGGTAACAACTGTTCTTCTGATTGGTTGCAAGTGAACACGGGAATACCGCAAGGCTCTGTTTTAGGCCCTCTCTTGTTTCTTGTTTATATTAACGACATACAGCACGCAGTTTGCAATTCAAATGTGTTTCTATTTGCAGATGATACAAAGATATCATGTCAAACATCTATCTATGAAGAATACGAGTTAGATTTGACCAAAATTTCTTCCTGGCTTTGCTCAAATAAATAAACCTTAAACTCAGATAAAACTACTTTAATTAATTTTACTAAGGATAGAAATGCTTCCAATCTTTCTTTTGATATACTTGATTTTACTTTTCAGCCGAAACCTTTTTGCAAATACCTAGGTGTCATTGTAGATGATAAGCTTAAATTTTTTCACCATATACAGAATGTTGAATCAAAACTAGGTCGTCACTGTGGTGTAATATCAAAAATGAGACATTATGTACCAAGATCCATCCTACTGAAATTTTTTAACCCAATTTTGAATATGCAACGAAAAATTGTTCGCATGATCTGCTTCAAAAGGAATTTTGATACCATTACTAAATTCTTTTCTGATAATAAAATACTGACAGTTCATGAGCTATATGTGTACGATTTGATGAAGTTTTGCTTACGATCACTAAATCAAAAACATCCAACTTGTTTCCTCAATTCTTTGTTTACTTTAAAAAATTTTGCCTATAATACGCGAATTTCAGAAGGTCGAACATTTGTTCCACCATTCTGTAAGAATAAGGTAAAATCATGTTCTTTGACTAATAGGGGTTCAAATTTATTGAATATTATGAGTATAAATAAGCTCTTACCTGAAAATATTGGATTGATGTCAAAAAATGAAGAATACATTTTCGTCCATAAGTTTAAAGATAATTTCATTTGTGGCAATTACGAGTTGGTGCAAAACATATTTCTTTGATCTTTTTTTATTTTTAAAAAGTAGTACCCGCTGGCTAAATGCTATCAAACAACCATTCTAGGGTTGCGATTCTATGCTGAAAATATGACCCTCCAAATCCTTGTAGTTTTCGAGAAATCGCATTTTTTAGAAAATTTTTAAAAAATGAAAAAACTTAAGAATTTTTTTTTTTTTAAATATGTTTTCTCATATTCTTAGCTCGTCAGCTGGAATATGAATTGGCCGAAATGACAGTACTAGATGTAATAACTATTCCTTAATGAGAGCTTAATTTTAGGGAAAAATAAATTTTTCCCCACAATCCTATTTTTATTCGAATATAAAATTATCTTCATTACTAGTTGCAATCCTAATTTGTTCAACGGGTAGACGTCAAATAGGCACATACTGCGCCTTTTTTCTATCCCCTCCATTTTGTTGATTCAATAATTTAAATAAATTGATGCTTGTATTATCAACTATATGGAGAAATAAATTCTTCTTCTTCTTCTATTTTCGGCTAATCCGATCAACAGGCTTGTTTATTCAGACTCGATTATTATAGATTCTTTGTGCAGTCATGAAGTTTTTCGATTTCTACTGAACAAATGAACGCATTTTTAAAAAGTGTAACTTTTTTACACGTGCGAGCTTAATTTTATGCGGCCAGCTCACTTTGTTTTTGTAACCGAAGTAGAATGTTTGAATTTTTCCAGGCTGAAGTGTGAATAGTGTGAAGATTTTGTGCAAGGTTCATCGAAATGTTTCTCGGGGAATTTTTTTACAACATATCAACGCCTTGAGCTCAAATTTAAAAAGACATTAAATCAGCGATAGTTTTTTGTGTCAAGTTGTGAAGGAATCTAAGGTGAAGTCTTGTCAATTTGCTGACCTAAGGTATGCAGGATTTTATGCATTAAAGTATTATGCTCAACGCGTAAGGTTAGTCACTGAATCAAAGTTTCAAAAAGATGTTTTAATTGTTAAAAATTAAATCGAGGCAAGCTAATTGGTCCAAATTTTTTCGAAAACATTTTAATTGAAGATAATTTTCCTTCATGTCAATTATCTGTATTTTATCGCATTTAGGCGACTGAGGGTGCACAGACTAGTTTCGAACAGGGTCTTCAGATTGAGAAGATCAGCGGCTGCTACGAGGATGCCAAAAAAGCCCTGGCTGAGAAAGTGGAGGAGCAACAGGAGGTAGAGCTGGCCTTGAAGCGAAAAGAAGTTAGTTCATTTTGCAGAAAATCCTTCATTGTTTGATGTTTAAGAGACGATGGATGTAGTTCACACTCTTATGCAGGTCGTGATGATTTTTTCATTGCTTTTTTATTTTAAATAAAGTCTGGAAAAATTTGATTGAGAAATAGATAAATGATTTCACAGAATCTGTTCAGGCTCTTATTAACAGCACCAATATGATCATGAAACTCCAGTTTTTTCATCAGGATGCAACCCCAATTATTTGATAGCGGATAGTTTCATTATTTATTGGAATAGTAAAATATTGTTTACTCTTTATTTAACTGTTTATCGGAATAGAGGTAAAATTGCCAAACTTGCATTTGCTTAATATCAATAGCTAATTACTAATTTTTGTCTACAGATATAATCTGACGTTTTAAGGACGAAATAGACCGACTGAGGCGGAAGTTGGAAAGGCAGAAGAGAAGTAACGTAATGGCACAGGCGGACGAAGTTTTAAGAGAGGAAATCCGAATGTACAAAGTAAGCAACCACTCGAAATCGTTTCAAAACCTCATCTTACTATAAGTTTTTTTGTTAGATTTATAAACTTTTTTTCTGTGGAAAAATTTTGGAAATTAACAAGCAAGTCGCCGTTTTTGAACAAAGCCAATTAACTCAAAATTGATTTGCTAATTTTGACGTCTAATCAAAAAAATCTAGTCAAAGTAAAAACCAATATTTTCTGATTGAAGAGTCGCTCAACTTCACCGAAGTTGTCAATAAATTGGGGCATTAACTTTTTTGTGGCGATGTTTCAGTCCCAATTGACGTGTCCATGCTGCAACGTGAAACAGATAGACACTCTGCTGACTAAGTGCTATCACGTGTTCTGCAATGCCTGCATTAAGAGGAGATATGACACCCGGCAGAGAAAGTGTCCCAAGTGCAGTCACGCATTCGGAGCCAACGACTTCCACAGAATATACATATGATGATCGGAACATAAATTAGGAAGGGGGACTGTTCTCATACCACAATTGCCAAAGGCGTGAAAATTTCTAATCAATTTTTATGCTTTAAGCAAATCAAACTCGATTGTTTTCTCCGCTTTTCAAACTCTGATTGGCTAACCGAGTTATGATTGGTTAACATAAATTTCGACCAATCGTCCCTTGTGATATGAGGACCCCCTCATTTAGAAATACTGTTGAGAACAAATGATCCGTCTGAACGTAATTTACAACTCATGAAGTGGAAACGATAAAACTAAATTTTCATGTTGCGAAGTATTCACTATTGTAATTTATCTGTATTTGATCTCATAAATTCTTTAAAATTCAATTTATCGAGCAAAACGCATCTTGTTCTTGGAGTAAAATGCATAAATGGTTCTTCAAGTTCGAAGAGTTTTAAGGGCATTGATTTTTTTAACTCGAAAGTCTCTAATTTGAGCATGTCTGCATTTTAAAGTCCCATTCTATTTTCGCAGCGTAGCATAATACTGCAATTTTTTCCGCAACCTAAATCGCAAATGAAAGTGCTCATTTGATGGAACTTTTGGTATAGGCAGTTGAATAGCATTGTTGCTGCTTTGTTGGTGACTAGCGTTAATATGTTAATCAGAACAGGTATTTTTAGAATTTATGGGATTTGGTTTTTTGTTTTGATGAAATGCTTCTTTGTTGCAGCTAATTCTACTTATGTACAGATAAAATGCTAAAAATGAAAGTGAATTAATCTCAAAGTTCAATCTCAAAGAATTTGAGGCAATGAAGGGAGAAAAATTTTAGCACTGCAGCTGTGTACTGAGGGATCCAAATTGAAAATGTAAAGAAAAAAAGCCTAATTAAGGCAAATTGAACAAAAGTTTACTGGATTAGTTTTTCTCATCTTTCATAAATTTTTGCAGTTCTGCGTTAAACAATTCACTATCCAAATCTCCGATTTCATTGAAGTTGTTCAGAGCTACTCTCAAGGATTGAACTGTCGAAGAGAGGGATAGTCGATCTGCTGAAGCGTCTGATGAGTTTGCTGTTTCATCGTTGGAGTGTATTGAGAAAATTGGAATTTTCTTATCCGAAGGAATTGGGGATGAAGTCGGACCGTCCGAGCCATGTTTTAAATGATGGTCGAGGATGATCGGGTTTGTCGCTGATCCCGACTGTTCGTCTTGACAATCTATAATGTCTATGTAAGGGAGGTCCTACGTTTCGCCACGACCGACGAAGTTTAAACTCGTTACCGGTGATGTTATTGTTGTTTGAAGATTCTTGGACAGCCGCGTTTTTGTCCGATGAATCGGTTATCTCGTAGATCGGGAAGCCTACAGTTGCGTCTTTTTGTGAGGTCTTCTGCTTATCCGGCGGATAGTCCGGTTGTTTGGCTTCTATAGTTGTTCGAGACGGTGTGATTAGTGGAAGTTGGGTCCGACTCCGTCCTGCGGGGATGATGCTGATTGGGCAAGCGAGCGGATCCGATGATGAAGCTTGGCCGTCCAAAATCTCAGTTTTTATGTTGTCTCGAGCTGTATGTGAGTCTAGGGGGGAATATAAGGCTTCGGTTCTCTAATTTTATCAGAAATGATACGATCCCTAATCATATCTCTGTTTGGGAAACCTCCCGCAATCCACTCCCTATCACTAATATCTGAGGTGTCCGACGGAATTAACAATGATTCGTCGTAAGCTAAGTAATCTGTTTTTGTGATCAGTTTCTTGCTTCGTGAAGATTTGTATTAATCCGGTTTGGCTTACGATTTTAAGATTCTGGTTCTTGTGTCGTTATCGGAGGTAGCCAACTCAGTTTGGAGCCTTGTCTTCTGGCCTGGGTTTCTGGGGGTTGTTTGTTTCGCTTTCGTAGTCCGCTTTCAACATACTTCAAATCAGAGTTGAGAAGTAACGTAAAGGAAATCTTTCCCTAAAGAAACGAATATTAGAAGAGTTTGATTTCGGTAGGGTGATGTCGGATTTTTTGATTATTTTTCAGTCGGATAATTCTTCCGTGGTTTTTGAAGCATTCATAATTTTCTGGTTCAGTTTTTTATAAAAAGGGTTTCCGTTTATGCTGTCCTTAGTTTTCCGAAGTATATTACCTTTGGAAAGACTTTGTAAGGGCATTCAAGACGATGAAGGCTTGGATGGTGAAGCGTAGTCTGACTCGTAGCCTTTCTCCAAGGAAAACAGATTTTTTTTGGGATTATAGTGTCCTTATATCCGTCAGAGCTCCTGTCAAGTGCTCGTCCTTTGCTTAAGATTGCTTTTCCTTTGTCTTAAAATCCGTCGGATAGAATATTAGAGGCTAACTATTTCCAGTGTGTTCAATTTTCTATTGAAGTGTAATTCAAAATGTGAACATTTGTTTTTTGATTGGAAGAACGAACGAAGGTTCCAGATAGTTTTTGAGACCGCGTGTTATAGGTTCATGATGTTCGTGAGGCATTGCTATTTTTATTGTATGTACAAGTTTTTCCACTAAACCGTTTGAGCGATGGTCGCCTACTGTACAAAATTTTAATTAAATATAGGAATCGCAAAATAATTCAAAATCCTGGTTAGTAAAACAAGACGTGTGGTCGACACGGATAGAAAAGGGAATGCCATGTAAATAAAATTTATCATGAATGAAATCAATCAACGTTATAGTTGAAGTGGAAGATGTGATTTTAGCCGAGGGACATTTTAAAATTCTGTCAATGCATCATAAGATATGTTTATTTGTTCCCCAGCTAGAATCAAAAAGAGCGGTTAAACCAAGATTTAATTCTTCGCTAGGCTCCGATAACTGTGGTAATTCGCTGATTTGAGTACAAGGAATATTACTTTCTACGTTCTCACCAGTTTTTGTGCGTTTGAACATTTTTACCGTGAAAATAAATTTGACGGTTTATATGAGGCCACCATATATACTGAGTGAGGTATTTCATGCCGAGTTGTCCCGGATGGGCCTCATGAAGTGCCTTCATAACTGCGTTTCTTAAAGTAAAAGGGATTACTAGTTTTCCGTCCATGTAGAGTAATCCATCGGATTCATGAAGATCTCGAATGAACTGGTTTTAGTAATGGGATTTTGCATTTATCTTGTCTAATTTATCTTGAAGAGCTTTGACGATAGAACTTAGCATTGGATCTCCCTCTGTTAATAGGGCTTACAATTTAGCGTTGAATAAGGTGTTTAAGTCCAAAGGACGTTCAGGTAACTTCAGATTCTCTCGGTATTTATTCACATGTTTTTTTTTTAATTTCTGATGAAAAAGAGAATTCGACTGAAACTTGGATACCGGAAGTGAAATGATTATTTACAATTTGATTATTGGACATGTAACAGTTTTTACAATTAAGAACTAGAAAATATATAAAAAACTCAATTTGATAAAGAAATTTTTAATATTTGAGTTAATACTTGAAAACTCCGAAGGAATACATTTGGAATTGTAAAATTCAGTTGTGTTGGGGTTTAAGTTACAAATTGGAACAGTCGAGTTAATGAACCTTAGAACTGAAGCAATAAGGTAATTACGTAATCGTGCTAAACTGGAATTTTCCAAATTTGAGCCAATAAAATTGAAATTCATTTTTCTGTTATCTGTTGCATATATTGCTTCGTTGATTTTATTGAATGTAGCAACGACAAATTCTTCGTCGTAATGGGATGCGCAGATTGCTTTTCCTGATGGGATTCTTGAAATTAGATCTGTGAAACCCATATGTTTCCCTGCCAGGTGTTTAATTGTAAAAATCGACCCATCTAGTTGGACGATTATGATATGTTTTACTTCCGTAGTTAGGTGAAAGTGTTGGAAGAAGGGTTTTATGGTCAGAAATGATTTCAAATTCCTAGGGTGGAGGTAATTATAATAATTCTCGACTGCCCAAACAACTCCCAAAAGTTCCAATTCATTTGTGGAATATTTAGATTCATGCGGATTCAGAAATCTTGAAGTGAAGGAGACTGTTTTCCAGTCATTCCCGTGGAGTTGTTTTAACGAGGCTCCGAGTCCGTTATGAGATTCATCTTTTTTTACTCTCGTATTAGGCTTTACGTCAAAAAGTGTATTTTCTGCAAGATTTACTGTTTCTTCTTTAATCTTAAATGCTTTTGCTTGCTCTTCATTGCATTGGAAGATTGATTTCTTTTTAGCAATGGCCTTAAAGGACTTCCCAGGGTTGCCAAATTTAGAACAAAATAAATGTATTGGTTTGTTGAACCAAACAATGATCTTAGTTTCTTAAGATATTTTTTGGAATTGGTAAATCTTTGATGGCTCAAGTTTGTCCACTAATGGAGCCTTTCCCGATTTGGATATTTTGAATCCGAGCCTTTCTATTTCTTAAAAAGAATTTACATTTTGGTCACTTAACGGCAAAATAAGATTCGTCTAAAATTGATAAAGTTTTGTAAACAGTATTTTTGTGTTCTGTAAAACTTCCTTTGGAAGCCATCAGAATGTCGTCGAGGTAACAATTTGTAAAAGTTTTCGATTTGGCTATAAGCGTTCTTTAGGTCCAAGTTGGTAAACCAGACTTCTCCGGTGGAATCGTTAGAAACTTGAGCGGCAACATTATCAACTAATTCATGTATATTAGGCATTTGATTTTGTTCTATTTTCTTGTTGATAAATCTCGAGTCAAGTGCTAATTTTATCGATTTGTTCTTTTTTGCAAGTGATAACGATTGGGTTGATAAATCTATATTCGTCACATTTTTCTAAATTTATAATGTGTCCTTTAGATGTAAGTTGGTCTAGTTCCGTTTTTATCCTATCGAGTAAATGAACACGTCTACCTTTCAGTTGAATTGGTTTTAGTGGTTCACGAATGCGAATAATTTTCGTTAGATTTTTTTCCCCAATCCGAAGGAATAATTATTCAAAATTCTTAGTTATAGTATCTATCTCTTTTTGTTTCTCGGTCGGGGAAATTAAATATTTTGACTTACAAATCTTCTTTTTCTGGTATCAGGAAAGTATTTCTGAGAGACTTCAATTCCCACTTCTGGCAGATTATCGTTTCCTAGAATTTTTCTTTCGTGGCCTTCTGTTAGGAAAAAGTGACATTCGTTGTGAGATCATTCGTTCGAAAAGATTGGTATATTTAACTTGCACGTGCTGTTGATTGCGTTATCTGTAAATACACAATATAGATCTTTCATCGGTTGATCCATAATTTTAATTCATTAAGTTAATTTCTGTTGAGGAAACTCACAGGGCTGGCGGAGTTGACCTGTATAAGAAGGATCACTTGCTTTTCTTTTCCGAGCCCGTTTTTAAGTAATTTCTTGTTCTTTCCCTTCCCGGAAAGGCAGAAGAGAAGTAACGTAATGGCACAGGCGGGCGAAGTTTTAAGAGAGGAAATCCGATTGAACAAAG